GAAGTGACACACAACGCGAGTTATGCTCGATTTTTTGCCGATTTTTGACACACCACGCCAAAAAGGTTGCCCATCACTGTAATAGGCAGTAATAGTACAAGCACTATAGCCAAATTGCAGGTAGCAGTATATAAAGCCTGATAGAATGGCCTCTTTTTAATATTCTTACAAAATCAGCAAATATGGTTATATGTGGTTCTGGTGTAATTACAAATTAGTACTATCTGGTACTTTTTGTCCTATATTTAATATTACTCTTTTTGACCAGAATACAGGTAGTCCTCGACTTATAACCACAATCAATCCCAAAGTTTATGTTGCTGTGAGATTTGTTAAGTGAATTTTGCCCCATTTTATGACTTGCCACATTTGTTAAGTGAATCACTGCAGTTGTTAAGTTAATAACACAGTTGTTATGTGAATCTGGCTTCCCCAATGACTTTGCTTGTCAGAAGTTTGCAATAGGGAATGACATGACCCTGGGACACTGCAACCGTAATAAATATGAACTAGTTGTCAAGCATCCAAATGTAAATCACATGATGATGGAGATGCTGCAATGGTCACAAGTATGAAAAATGGTCTTAGGTCACTTTTTAAAGTGCTGTTGCAATTTTGAATGGTCACTATGTAAACTGTTGTAAGTTGAGGACTACCTGTATTTTTTTTCTTTACATTTGAAATTTCATATTGTTTTGTGGTTTCCATCTTTTCTTACTGGACTTGTCTATATGTGGGTGTTTTTAATTAGGTTGAAAATGAATATGGAAGTTACTTTGCATGTGATTTTCATTACCTCCGTTACCTGAAGAATCTTTTTCGCCAGTACCTTGGGAATGAAGTAGTCCTGTTTACAACAGATGGTGCAACAAAGATTTTTTTGCGCTGTGGAACTCTTCAGGGCCTTTATTCAACTGTGGATTTTGGACCACGTGAGTGGCAATTGAAGTAACATTTTACCTTGAGAATAAAATATTTTTAGATAATGTACTAGTAAACACAGGAAGCTGCCTTAAACTGATTCAGATTTTTGCTCAACTGATCTGTATGTTGACTGGTTAATTGTTAGCTTGTGTTTCCCAGCTAAGAATCTGGAAATTAAATTTGGGGCCTTTTATGCATAGAGTGTCTACATTGTGTTGAGTTGTTTAGTTTTCATTAGCAAAAAAGTCTTTAGAGCAGGGGTGCCAAACTCAAGGCCTGCAGGCCGGATCTGGCCCACAGGGTGCTTAGATCTGCTCCATAGGGTCAGCCTGAAAACAGCAAAGGACTGGCTAGCGGTATCAGTGCCAACTAAAATGGAGCACGGGGATGTGTGGGGGAGGGCAAGCTCCTCTTTCACTGGCAGAGGGCTACAGGAGGCCATCAAGGCTGAAAACAGGGCACAGAGGGGCCGAATATAGCCCTCCCAGGCTCCGTTTTTGCTGGCAGACGGCTATCAAAACAAACTAAAAACAAAATAAAGGTGAAATGTTTCCCCTTTTGCATTTGAGCATGCAAGAAAGGACCGGAAAGGAGAAAGTGAAAGAGGAAAAACAAAGGAAATGATGGGAAGAGAGCAAGGAAGGAAAAATAAAAAGAGGGAAGGGAAGAAGAAAGGAGAATGAAGAGGGAAGGAAAAAGAAGAGGAAGGAAGGATGGCAGGATGGAAGGAAGGGATGATACATGTTTGAAATCAGGCAATGGTAACCACACTCTTCAGGGAAAGATCATTAAAGAAATGGTGGTCTGTTATCCCCTTTGGATCTAGTGATACTGGACATTTTTTGTCCCATCTTACTTTTTCAGGGAAAGTTGTTGAGAAGAAGGTTGCTTTGCAATTTTAGAATATCATGCAAGAAACAGATTGTCAGGACCCTTTCCATCCATTTTCAGACCAGGTTAGAGTCTAGAACTGGCCCTGGAGCAGTGGTGGGTTTCATTTTTTTTTAGAACCTATTCTGTGGGTGTGGCCTATTTTGTGAGTGTGGCTTGGCAGTCATGTGACCGGGTGGGTATGGCCAACTTGACATTCTTCATGCACACTCAATCACATGACACACACACACACACACACACCCACGGTGGCAAAAAAATTTGGGACTCCGATAAAGGGGAGGGGAAAAACTCCTAAAAATAGACAACTGGAGGATTAAGGGCTGAAATTGGGGAGATCGGAGAAGGCAGGATAGAGATGAAATCCAGGAGAAAAGAATACCACACACTGGGAAAAGAACTTTGGGAGATTGGAGGAAGCAGGACAGAGAGGAATCCAGTAGAAAGCTATCACACGCTGGGGAAAGAACTTTGGGAGATCAGAGGAGGCGGGACAGAGAGGAATCCAGTAGGGAGCAGTAACGCGGTACAGGAAGCAAGCGCAGGCCATCATCCTTGCTTCTTTCCTTTGAGAACCGTGGCAGTGGGAGAAACCGAGGCTCCTTTGCTGGCGGTGGGGGGTGGGGCAAGTGGTGGGGAGCAGAGCAAGGGGGGGGGGGGCAGGCCAGGGGAGAGACCATACCAGTACGGGGCCTCCAGCTCTAACCGGTTCGTAAATGTATGTCCAATTTCTGGTACCGGTCCTGGCGTACCAGTGTGTACCAGTAGAAACCCACCAATGCCCCGGAGGAAGTAGGAGAACCATTACAACATCTTTACCACAGTCAATTTTAGTAGGAAGGGAGAGTTCTAGCCAGAGAGTTTGATAAGGCCATTTGAAATGGGAAACAGAATAACTGTGATTAGTCTTAAATTATAGATTGTGTTGCTTTTTTGCTTTGTTTTGTTTCTGGTTTTAATTAAATGTGATCCACTGAGACTTTCTATTTGCAAGGTGGACAGCTATATAAATTATTTAAATAAATAGGCTACTAGTTATTTATCTGCTTAATGGAAAGAACTCATTGGACAGTATTTCTTAATGTTTCAGTATATCATCAACTTTGAATGTCCTGTTGCTATAGAATGCAGTTCTTGCTGTTTCTTTTCCATTTCATAATTTTTATTTTTTTTCTATTACTAATGTCTGCCAAAGAGAAAAGGAATGAATTACTGGTAATTATCAACTTACAACAGTTCAAAGTTATAATGGCACTGAAAAAAAGGACATGATTATTTTTCACACTTATGACCATTCCAGCATTCCCATGTCATATGATTTAGATTTGGATGCTTGACAACTGATTCCTATTTACGACTGTTGCAGTGTCATGTGATCTTTTGCAACCTTCTGATAAGCAGTCAGAAGCCAAACTCACTCAACAACCATGTTAGTAATTTAACAACTGTGGTCATTCACTTAACAAATGTAGAAAGAAAAGCTGTAAAATGGGCAAAACTCACTCAACAAATTTCTCACCTAGCAACATAAATTCTGGGCTCAATTGTGATCATAAGTTGAAAACTACCTGTAATCCATAAAGCCTTTTTACTCTTAGCATTAGGAACTATTTTTTTAAAAGCAGTGCATACTGTACATAGATGTATATATTTCTAAAATGAAAAATTTGAAGTGGTGGGGAAAGCAACTGAATATGAAGGTTTTATTTAAAAGCTTCATTAAATGTAGAATAATGTTATATATCAGTTTTAACATAAATTATATTTTAGTTTATTTTTACTTATTACTTGAACTAGTTTCTATTGAACTACTTAGCACAAAGGATTCATACCTTAATACCAAATACCACACATTTTCTTTATGATTATACTTTTCTGCATTTTATTTTAAATTTCCACTCAGCAAATATTTCTGAATTCAAAGAATTCTTAAAGGAATATTATTGCTAAAATACAGTGAAAAGCAAAAAGTAATACTTTAAAAATCGTTTACTTTCCCTGTCCTACTCATATCCACAAACCATTTTGAACTAATCAATCTTGCCTGTGAAAGGAAGTGCAATACAAAAATATATTGGGGAATATATTTTGCTGGTTTAGCATGCAGAATTAAGTGAACATAGCTTTTCATTTTTTCCTTCTTACTTTAGTAATATCTTGATAGGGTCATTCCCCCCCCCCCCCGAAGGTTCCAAACTACTGAGGCAGTTTGAACCGGGCTAGAAACTGGGAGACCATTGATTCTAGCTTGCCTTAAGCACAAATATAGCAGGATAACTTGACCCATGTATTCTTTTTTAGCCCTAAGACATAGGCAGTGACAAACCACTTCCAAAATCTTGGTAAGAAAACTTGTTCAGGCAGCTGTTGGGAGTCAATGTTGACTCAAAGGCTCATACACATTATTATTTAATTGATCATTTTTTATTCTCTGCAATACTTTGCAATGCTTCTGAATTCACAAATAGCATACATGTATGTAATAAATTAAAGTATCATTGTACCTTTTGTTAAGGGTAATTTCTCTGTGTAACATAAGAATAGTCTGCAGTTAATAAATCAGATTTGACTCTTTGTTTTATTGATTTGCAGATACCAATGTCACTGCAGCCTTTTTAACTCAGAGACGAACTGAGCCTCAAGGCCCCTTGGTATTATTTTTCTTCATACATTCATACTTTACTGCTGATATAAATAAAAATTGTTAAAGATAGTAAAAATGAATTAATATTGAACAGTCCAATTTGAATTGTTAATTTTTATTGTTTAGTGATTTTTTTTACAAGGATAGTGTGTCCTTTAATTTAGGAGTATTATGTTAATTCCTCATAGTCACAAGAGTTAGATATGTTGCACATAAGATATATCAAGCATCAGACATATGATAGTGTAGAAGATGAGCATACATGGGTAAGAAAAAGTATGTAGCATATTTAAACAAATCTTTAAATTGTTGCCACTTACAAAGATGTATACATTTTCTCTTTATATGTGTAGTCTGCATTTAGGAATTATAATTGGGACAAGCAACTTGGTTAACAGAGAGAGGGGGGAGAGGGAGGGAAGGAGAGAGTGTGTAGGAAGGTCAAGGGATAGAGAGAGAGAAATAGAGATAGAGAAAAATACAGGCAGGTGTTTCTGCTGGCACCGCACCGCACCCCCCCCCAGACAGACAGACAGACACAGAGAGACAAAGAGACAGACAGAAAGAAACAGACAGAGAAAGGAGAAAGAGAGTCAGACAGACAGACAGACAGACAGAGACCCAGACCTAGACCCTGTAAAGTTATAAATGTGGGCATTGGTCCCAAAGTTAATTTTTTCATACCATTGTAATTGCTAATGATTGTTGTCTGAGGCAATCACTAAATGATAACTATCTGTGGTAACCAACTCTTTACAGTAAGGATAAATTTAGATGGCTAGCCCAGGAGTCTTTTTATTTTCACAAGGTTTCAGATGTATTTTGGAGAATTTCCTAACAATCTAGGAGGAAGACAATTCTGTGGAATAGTTTGTTTACCTCTGAAAAAGAGAAATGGCCAGAATGTCAGACAGGGTTGTCCTGAGTGGAGACTGCTACTGATTCCAGATCTTTGGTTCTCTAAAGAGTTCTGGAAAGTAAAGGGAGTGAAAAGAATCCTGGGACAATGCTGATGGAAAAAGTACAAGCAGACATGGGCATAAACTCAACTTTGAACTTTCTCTATTGTGATAAGAATATTGATATGGTAATATTTCCATTTCCAATGCAAATCCCTATTCTTACTTTTTTTAAATCTAATAAAGTTTCATGTTAAGAGCAGGGTATATCTTTCTTTTAAAAGCAATGTAGGTTTTATTTCTCACTCTGTATCATACTTTCCTCTGGGATGGAAATGTCGGGTTCCTCCCAATCCTTTATTTTGTCTTCTAAGTTAGGTAACATTGTGTATTTTATTAGAAGCTGTTTAATTTTCACATTATTTCAATAAGCATCCCACCATCAAGGATTAGGACCTTAAATAGGATATTGTCCTATTTAAAGAATTGCAATGGAATGTTGGATGCATACGTTTCATCTTATGATTTTATTGTCTATGAAGAAACTGCTATTTAACTATTTCTCTTTTCTTTTCTCATTCATTTAACTTTCTTAACCTTGTTTTATTAGAACATTTAGTATCTGAGTACTGCTTTGTGTTTTTGACACTTCGATTTAGCCACAGTTTTTACCTCCTTGACCTACAAAGTCATATTTATATGGTCTTTCAAGTACAAGAAATCTTTGATTAATAATCACAATTGAGCCCAAAATTTCATTTGCTAAGTGAGGCAATTGTTAAATGAGTCTGCCTCATTTTATGACTTTTCCTGCCACAGTTGTTAATCGAATTATTGCATTTGTTAAGTTAGTAACACAGATGTTAAGCAAATCTGTCTTCCCCATTTACTTTGCTTGCCACAAGATAGCAAAATGTCTTAGGACATTACAACTGTCTAAACATGAGTCAGTTGCCAAGCATCTGAATTTTGATCATGTGACTGTGGGGATGGTTCAACGGTAAGTGTAAAGAATCGTCACCCATTTTGTAGCTCCAGAAAAAAAGTTGTAAAAGCTGTATGAGGTCTTCACATTTCCTTTAGAGGTGAAGTTGAATCTTCTTATCTTGCAAAAATCTTTATGGTGTTTTGGAGACATGGAATGTGGCATAACTCTTGATTGTGCTCTACAACAGCATTTAAAGCTTTTTGAGGTTTTAAGTAATTGAAATTTCTTTGTTATTTCTTCAGTATCATAATGGAATATTATAAACTGTTCCATTGCCATAACTTTGACAATGGACTTTTAAAATGTAGATTAAATAAATGCTGCTTAGATGAGGTTTCCTAGTATTAGTTGTAAGCATATCACCCGTATCTTCCTGCAGCATGCCTTGAATGACATATACAATGGAGGATAAGGTGATGAGAAAATGTTTGAACTGCATTCGACTTTGGCATGAATTCATCCTTATTTATGTAGTTAAATGTGTAGCGAATAGATCTCTTGAGAAGCCTTTTGTTGTAGATTGTTATGCATTAGTTCTTTATTTCTAATATACTTTTTCTTAAAAAAGATTTTTCTTTTTCAGGTGAATTCTGAATTCTATACTGGTTGGTTAGATCATTGGGGCCACCCCCATAATGTTATACCGTCACCAGCCATAGCAAAAACTCTTAGTGAAATCTTGGCACATGGAGCTAATGTTAACCTGTAAGTTCATTGATATCTGTTTAAAAGGGAAAAAAAACCAAGGTGGTTGTGCAGCATCCTCAAATGCTTTTCTACTTCTTTTTTCAGATATATGTTCATAGGAGGCACTAATTTTGGCTACTGGAATGGTAAGAAGTGTGCATGTAACTGCTTATCCTATAATTAAAACATTTTCTTTTTTCTAATCCTAAAAACAAGAATATGTACTATATGTCTTCTTAAACAGAGGTGTAGAAGAATTTTGGATGGGAGAAAATAGAAAAGTCATAGAAGGGAGTTCTTTTTGTTGGGGTTTCAATTTCCAGAATATAGCACAAGTATCCTCAGATTACGAGAGTAATTGAAACCAGAATTTCTATCACTAAGCAATATAATAATGAAGTGCTATGTTATGTGAATCTATCACTTAGCAATGGCAATCCTAGCTGCCATCATAACTCCAGGACTGCACAAGTGTGCAGGTGCCATAGATATGCTCTGGGCAGACTCTGTGGAATATGGATGGGGGTGCTTTGGGCAGGTGCTACAAAGTGTAGTGACAAAAATGGCAGGAAGGAGAGTGAATTCTCACTGTCTGCTAACTGTCGTTACTTATGGAGGGTAGCAAGGAACATTGGAAATTGTGATCCCATGACTGTAGCTTGCTGAGATGTACTCACACAAACCAGCATCAAGTACCGGCTCACAGTCACATAACTACAGTGATGGTCAGAACTCCAAAGCCTGTCATAGGCCTACTAGTTCAGCAACATTGTAATTTTGAATGGTTGCTGAACAAGTGGTCTTAATCCAAGGACTATCTATATGAGTAATATCTAACTGCCAGGCACATAGGCTAAGATTATAACAAGGACTGACTTTCTTGCTTATATGAAGCCATAGAGTTAAATAGAGTGAGACATTTTATTTGGAACCATTGTACTCCCCCACCCCCACAGTATAGTCTTTTCTCTACTTACTCTATATTTTGCCATTTGAAATGGTTCACTCCTTTTTCCTTGACCAATAAGATAAAGTCAAGAATGACGAAAGAGTCAAGAATGGCTAAAGTATGATTTTCTTTGGTACATTTTCTGATTCATAGTTCTGCATCATATAGTTTCTCTAACATTTTCTGAAAATTATCAATATTTAACTTCATTTTTCACACAGAATATCCATATTTCAAGCTTGGTAATTTTTGTCATGCACTTTGTTTTAGTCAACAAATGTATAAATATAAGAAATTTATCTATTTTTAATATATGTTTTATTTTTAAACAAACAAATACAGACAAATATAAAATATAAAACCATCTTCCAGTTACATACAGTGTGTTGATGGTTACAAAACTTTTGTGCTTACTCACCATAGTCTTCATTTACAATTTATATAGAATCTCATATTATCAATCTGATATATATGTGTACAATTATTATCATTGTTAAACATTTATTTGACTATAACTATTATTCCTTTTATGTGAGATATTCTAAATTTGGAATAAATTTATATTATGGCATTTCATTACATCATCCTAAAACCATTCAATAGTAGAATACATGTTTACATTATATTCTGTATAAAATTGTTTATCATTGGTTACAAATTTTTGTGCATCCTTTCCATAGTCCTCACTTACAATTTATATAAAATCTCATATTATCAATCTAGTATATATGTATACATTATCATTGTTAATAATCATTTATTTGACTATAACTATTATTTATTCATTTTATGCGTAATATTCTAAATTTAAATTAATTTAAATTAATTTTTATTATAGCATTTCATTGCATTATCTTATACCCATCCAGTAGTAGTACAATCTTTTATCTCTTGCCATTTCTAGTATTTGTATTCTAATTGCTTTCTTGGTAGATCTTATATGGACTTCTCTTGGCAACTTGTTTTTCACTGCATATCTTGTAAAGACTCAAAATCCCTCGTCTGTTCCTTCCATCAACTTCCCTTTGGTTATTACCGATACTTCTGCTAGAATTTCTTTCATTACTTCTGCCAAATTTTCTCCCTTTTCTTCTATATTCTGGAATCTGATGTAAAATTCTGATCTGTCAATCTCCCATTCCAATATTCCACTCTTGTCTTTTTCAACCATAGTCAATCTGCAATTTTCTTATCTCTTTGTTCATCTTTTTCTTCAATTTTTTGAAATCTGTCTTCATATTTCATCATCGTTTGGTGGATATTCTCAATTTTTTCATCTATTTTTCCTGTTCTTTGTTCAATATTCTCTGTTCTCTTTTCAATGTTCTCTGTTCTTACTTGTATTTTTTAATTTCTTGCATAATCATCTGCAATGCCACTTCTTTTTATTTTTCGTGCTGCAACATCTTCTGTATTGATTTTTTCCTCCAGATAGTAAACACTGTCACTATATAGAATCCAAAGCTTTTTATTAAGTTCCAAACACGTTCACTGCAATCTTCTTCCTTTCAACTCCAAACTTTCTTTTCACTCCAATCCAACTACTGATAGTACTCCAGAGGAGCACCTGTATAAACAATCCGTGCTCATCCTACTATCATTTTTAATAAACAAGCTCAGAGTCCTTGAAATGTAACACCAGCTCTTACTTTGCACAAATGCTCAAAGAAAGAAAAGAAAAACAATGTTTCCAAGCCTCTAAGTGGCAGTGTTATTTCTTTTCCTTTACTTTTACTTCCCTCTTTATATTCCAAACTTATGGGGGGGAATTAAAAATGCAATAGAGTGTTGAAAAAAGAAAAAGAAAGAAAGTCTTAAACAATAAGTATTAAAAAAGGAAAATAAAAGGGGAAAAAACCAATCCAGATTAAAAAAATAAGCATTTGTAAAAATTCCAGCAATAAAAGGTTTAAGGAAAAATAACACAATAAGTTTGACTCAGATTTAATCTCGCTGCTTGACTTCTTCGGTCTTCAATTTTAACTTTACTTTTGATCTTTTAGGGTATTCTCTTCTCTAATAATAAAAATTATCTCACCAATTCGACACACTTTCTCTTCAGCTTTCCTCCATTCTGGAGCTGCCCCAATTTTCTGCAGCTTTAATGGCTGCTTCTCCGTTGCTGGAAAAAAAGGGCTTCTCCTGGATCTACCAGGGACTTTGCAATGTTCCTGGGATCAGCAGGATGTGCCCTTCTCTATCACAGTCTCTATGGGATGGTTTAGGTCCAATAGGACCGCCCAGCAGCAGAGATATTGATGGCAATCTTGGAGTTTCAAGATCGCATATCGTACCATCGTGACGTCAGCCCCGCCTCAGAAATTTATCTATTGAAGAGCAAAATATAATCTGTACATATCTACTACCTGGTGTAAATTCCACTACTATCTTCTCAAAATTTGTTCATAGTCATTTCTTTCAACCATAATTTGGTTAAAACCTGTCCCAACACTCTTGCAATCTAGTTCCTATAGTTCTGATGTCACTCCTGTATATGAGAAAGATAAGATGTTCTTCTCTACTATCAAGTACGTTTTAGTCAATCAAGGTTTTTAGGTTTAGGTTTATTAGATTTATATGCTGCCCTTCTCCCAAGGATTCAGGGCAACATTAAAAGAAACACATAATACAAAAGTTAAAAAAAAATTAAATAGAATATCCCAAACCCAATTAAAATTGACAATGACATTTTTTTTAAAAAAAACTCAAATTAAAATTAACAGTGATCAATAATTTGTTTTGTTTTGTTCAGGCCAGGCTGGCTTGCTGAAAAAGCCAACTTTTTAGGGAGTGTCGGAAGGACTGGAGGTCGGGGATTATACGAAGCTCCGGGGGCAGCTCATTCCAGAGGGATGGCTCTCCCACAGAGAAGGCTCTCCCTCTGGGGGTCACTAGTTGACACTGTCTGGCTGATGGCACCCTGAGGAGGCCAACTCTGTGGGATCGCACTGGATGATGGGAGGCTACTGGTGGCAGTAGGTGGTCTCACAGGTACCCTGGGCCTAAGCCATGGAGTGCTTTAAAGGTCATAATTAGTACCTTGAATCGCACCTGGAAGACAACCGGCAACCAGTGCAGGCCGCCTAAAAGGGGTGTCACATGGGAACACCTAGGTGCCCCCATGATAACCCGCGCAGCCGCATTCTGGACCAGTTGAAGCTTCCGGGTGCTCTTCAAGGCAGCCCCATGTAGAGAGTGTTACAGTAGTCCAGGCGAGAAAGGACGAGGGCATGAGTGACTGTGCACAGAGCATCCCAATCCAGGAAGGGGCACAACTGACGTACCAGGCGAACCTGATAAAAGCCCCCCCTGGTCCTGGCCGTCAGGTGTTCTAAACTAAGCCGTGTATCCAGGAGGACGCCCAGATTGTGGGCCCTCTGTGAGGGGGCTAAAATTTCTCCCCCTATCATCAAAGATGGAACAAGATGCACAAATTGGGATGACGGAAACCACAGCCACTCAGTCTTGGAGGGATTGAGCTTGAGCCTGTCCCTCCCCATCCAGATCCGCACAGCCTCCAGGCATCAGGACATCACATCGAGGGCATCGTTAGCACAATACCTCAGTAAAAAAAAAGAAATGAGCAAACTAGGTTACTAGTCATATCTGTGATTTAAGCAATTATCTTATATGAATGATAAGGACAGTATTCATCACTTTGGATGCTTTGGGGTCAGTATTTTACAAATCCAATTAAAGTTTAATTTTACTCTAAACATGCTCATGCTGTTACACCAAGCTGGTATCTCAAATATAGCTATTGCCTTGCAAATCAATATACTACAGCAGGTATCTTATCAGCTATGTACATGCAATGTATTTCACCAAAGACACTATAAAATCTCCTAAGCCTATATAATTCAGTGGAGGCAATCAAATACCCAACTTACAATCTGCTTCTTCTCACAGGAGCCAATATACCATACATGGCACAACCTACTAGTTATGATTACGATGCCCCATTGAGTGAAGCAGGGGATCTTACAGAGAAGTATTTTGCTCTCAGAGAAGTCATTGGCATGGTGAGTTTCTTTTTGAACATCACTTCTGTATCTTACCCTGAATTTGTTTTGATTTCTAATGTAGTCAAGAACCTAAAATACTTGCTCTTGCTAGATGAATCTGGGCTCCATAGTAGTCTGATTCAGTCAAGCAAGATTTCTCCGATTTGATGACAAAATTCAGGTGAATGTATGTGCATGTGCTGCACCTTAAAAATCTGGAGGCCCAATAGATTGCAGCAAATGAGTACAGGGGAAAAAACTAACTCTTTTCTTTTACCTGGTAGTTTTCTGGATTTTTCCATCCTAAATGTGGGAATGTTAGTATAACCCTTTACAGGCTAGATATAAAGTATCTCAATTGTAGCAGATGAAAATATGTATTTGATTATAACAAATAAAAAGAGAGCAAAGGATTATCTTATTAGATGCAAGAAGAATGTCTATCACATTTTTTCTACAGAATAATCATTTTTGTGAGTTATGTGTAAGAAATCTCCAGAGTTGTTCCACAAATTATTAAATTAGTCTAAATTCTAGATTTAAAGTTGTGATAGCAGAAATGAAAAAAAAATGGAATTCATGGCAGCTTCTTCATTGTATATAATTATTACCAAGTAGTGAGGATGTGGGGAGACTACAATTGCAATAAGTCCTAACCATTTTGGCTAGGAAGTGATGATGCTGGTAGATTTAGTCCCAACAAATCTCAAGGATTCCAGACTGAGTAATGGTACCACAGCAACCCAAGATCATATAATATCATATCATTTACATGAGAATGAGAAAATTGATTCTTCAACTACTGAAGATTATATTTTGTTTTTTGTTTTTTTCATTCATATTTCAGTATAAGGATTTGCCAAAGGGGCCTATACCTCCAACAACTCCTAAGTTTGCATATGGAGAAGTTAAATTGATGAAGGTAAATGAATGTATATTACATAGCCATTAGATTTGCATAGTCATAAGTTGGAAAATTTTGATTTAGTGATTTTTTTTTTAAAATAAAAAAACAAAAAATCATTTTCTTTGTAGTGTTGCTCTTTGGAGATTGGAGGTGGAAAATTTGAACTTTGTCATGAAGCTTAAAAAATGGAGCTCTTTTTTTACAATGTATAATTGAAAAATGTGCAAGAACCCTTAAAAAAAGTTTAATTGGAATTAACACATCAGGGAATTTAGTCTCAGGAAAAAATTGTATCTTTAGGATAAGGTAGTTTATTTACTTTATGGCAATAAAGTTAATTATAAAATATAAGCTTTGGAGGAATGACATTTTTTTTCACTAAGTTTTCACATTATCTCTACATGGAACTGACATGCATTTTGAATTATTACATTCTTCAACATATTTGTATGAGAATTCAGTAAAGAATCATTTAGGAACCATTTAGCTCTTCTGCTACAGGCAGAAGAGCTAAATGGTTCCTATACATATCTTAACAGGATAACTTTAGACAAATTCTGGTAACTATTTATGTAAGCATTGTTTAGCATGATTATGTTGTTGTTCTACATTTATTTCAATGCAAATTATACTCTGTTTTTGCTCCATTGCAGGTTGGAACAGTGACTGAACTTCTGAATGAATTTTCCCCATCTGGACCAATTAAAAGCATGTATCCTTTGACGTTTGTTCAATTAAAACAGGTAAAAGTTGATTCCTACATAGACTTTTTAACTCACAATTTGGCCAGTTTATTTAATTATGTACACCATATCAAAATATTTATTCATTTTTAATTTATCTTTTACATTCATGGAGGAATTAGACTACTATTCTGTTATACTTTTTAGAAAAATGCATAAACATTTTAGGAAGTTTGTACCATTTGCATATTCTGCACTATTAATGGAGAACTTGAGTTTCTTCTCTGATACTGAATTCTTAAGAAATGAAATGTATCAGAAAGGGAGTGGTGACTAGTGTGGGTGGCATAAAATAAATGTGAGAGCTATAAATGGAAATGGTGATTGAATAAAAGTAGACTAGATTAGTCAGGGATTTGAACTCAGTAATTGAGTTAAGAGGATGGGGCAATAAATCTTATTATAGAGGTAATGTTTTAAAGATGGGGGAAGTAAAAATTTGAAACAGATTTTCTCTGGAATAGTGTCAGGAGCTGGAAGATAGTGAAAGGGGAAATGAATTAGAGATTTGTATTAAACTATTGAAAAACTTTTATAGAATCAAAAAATGGGAGATTTATGTGAACAGAGATGTGAAGCTTACTCCCTGTAATTGCTGCCCCCTATTTATTATATAAAATTTCGTATTAAAATATTCACAAGTATATAAACACAAATACAACTTGAAATGGACAGTAATGTGCACAACCTTACACAGAATAAATAATTATATATGCTCAGTGACATTACAATTTTAAACTACACTTTTATTCAACATTGGCTTTGCTCCTACATGATTTAAGCATTTATTTGTGCTTATTTGTGATACACCTTCACTAAAATTAGGTAAAATATTTTTTTCTTAGTTTGACTACCTTTTTAAAATATTCCTTTAATAGAGTGATAAATATTACAGTCATATAGAAATAATGCTGAAGTTTCTCAATCTGAGAATGACTACGTCAGAATCTCTATATAAGGAATTTGCCAAAACACATACATCTTTAATTATTACTGAAGAAATTACTTACTAATTAAACAATTAAATGCTATAAATAGTTGCCAAATTTTATAGAAAGCTATAGATTGTTCATCTTATTTTGGTCTAATTTCAACTTCTACAAGTATCAGATTTTAGTTATCACCATGTAGTTCTTATCCTTCCTAGTGTCCAAATTATAAATAAGTCTCACTACTTCTTGAATTCCAAGAAAATGGTTGGCATAGAAAGAGAATACTTGTCCAACATTCATTTAAGGAAGTTCTCCAGCTGTTTTGTTGGAATAACAAATCCAAATATTACCCAAGCTTGTTTCCAAAAGCTTACCAACCCAGACTTTAAAAGAAAGTAACTTCCAGTTCAACTTGTAGAAGATGAGCAGGAGTTCTAATAATTTTTCCTATTGTTCCAGATAATGAAATTGCATAATCCCCCCCTTCCGTAGATCTTAGCTACTACTATTTTAATATTCTTTATGAAAGCCTTCTAAAATAGCAATAGCACTTAGACTTATATACTTTACAGCTTTACAGAGTTTATATATAGAATATGCTGATAATGCCTCCAACAATCTGGGTCCTCATTTTACTGACCTCGGAAGGATAGAAGGCTTAGTCAACCTTGAGCCTGGTGGGATTCGAACTGCCAAATTGCAGACAGACAGCAGTCAGCAGAGGTAGCTTACAGTACTACACTCTAACCACTGCGCCTACAATTCTTCTGCTTCGTTAAATATTCTAAATGTTTAAATATCTCACTGTTCTATGATGGCTTCTCTAATAAGCAAAATAAAACATTTTAGGTGTTTCGCCAATACCATAAAATTGGATTGGCAGGATTAATTTCTAGTTACTACTAAATACAATAATCGCCTTTTAAAACATTAATTTAAATATAGTTTTTATTACTGAGATAAGAATTGTGGTAATAGTTTCTAGATATAGGGAAAATAGTTTCTAGATAAGAGGAAAAATTCTGGAGTTGGCAAAAAAGGCAGTACAAAATTTGTACGAAGATTAAACAAATAGACAGCAGATTTACTTAATATACATTCCTATGTTTCACATAAGGATCTTTATATTAATATGTAGCAGAAAGAAAATCTTGTTTCTGAGCCTCTGATTAAAGATTAAACTCTGAAAAAAAAATCTCGAGGAGCAAGCAGGAAATTGTGTGTGTGTGTGTGTGTGTGTGTGTGTGTGTGTGTGTTCTCGTAGATTTTCTAGACCCGAATACAACAAGACCAGCATATATATATTTGTATATATCTGTTTATCTGTAAAGAATAAGTAACAAGTTAGGTTAGGGACCACCTTATTAATACAAATTATATCAGAATTTGAGGACTATTGAAAACACTAGCCAGTCGATTTCTATGCAGATTCTCAGTCATCTAGAAACACCAGGAAGTCCAGTTGTCTCTTGAAAAAGCACCTTTGGAATACCTAGTCAATTATTTGTAGACCATTAGTAAACCATTTCATTCTAAGTTTCCTTCAACAATATCCCCTAGCTCTATGCTTATTAAGTGGTAACAGATTTAGTCCTACTTTTATTTAAACACGCTGCAGTGACGTGCGGTGAGGGTTACCGTTGGTGAGGCAAGATGGACATAAACGTGAGATGCCTGTCGGACACAGCGGCAGGGGTGTTGCTTCTCGCCGCCGTCGCACTCCACCGCCTTGCCCCCCGCCTCCTCCAATGAACAATCCTGCTGCCCCGGCCTGCAGCCAGCCCACCCACCCCCCCGCCCGACCTGCCCGACCTGCCTGGACTCACTGCTCTTCTCCTCCTTGTCCTCCCCACTCGGTGCTGGGCTGGCTGCAGGCTGGGGCAGCAGGATTGTTTGTTGGAGGAGGCGGGGGGCAAGGCAGTGGAGCATGACAGCGGCGAGTAGCATCTCAGATGGAGCTGGGACACCCGGAAGGCAAGCCGGCACTTCGGCATGCCTTTAAGTGCTGGCTTCCCTTCCGGGTGTTCCGGCTCCATCTGAGATGCTTCTCACTGCCATCACGCTCCACCGCCTTGCCCCCCACCTCCTCCAACGAACAATCCTGCTGCCCCGACCTGCAGCCAGCCCAGCACTGAGCGGGGACGAGGAGGAGGAGGAGGAGGNGCTTATGATATTTTCCAGGAATTTGGATGTTTCAGTGATGAAACACCAAATTAAAAGAGTTGGAATAACCTGGGCTGGGTGTGATGTTGGTCAGGAGTTTAATTTTTTTGCCTTTGTCTTAGCAGCTAATCAACTGCTAAACAACAGTAACCACGACGATGATGAGGATGAGGAAGAGGAGGAGGAGGACGAAGATGAAGGCATGGAAGAATTGCGGCCAGGGACCTCTCAAAGTGCGCCCAGAAAGGTCAAGCCCTTGACGAGACGGGAAACCCCCAAGCAGCCAAAGATCATCCCAGTGGTGAAGAAGGACAAAGCCACCCAGCGTGGACATGCCTTGAAAAAAAGCCTTGAGAGACGCTGCTCAGATTGTACGAGGACCCTTCATTCCGCCGGCAGAGGGCGCCAGAGGAGTGAAGCCAACGCCGCTCGGGAGAAGCCGTTCCAGTGTAGCGACTGCGGGAAATGCTTCATCTGGAGCTCCCACCTCGAGCGCCACCGCCGGATGCACACGGGAGAGAAGCCCTTCAAATGCCTCAACTGCGGGGAAGCCTACAGCCAGAACTTCCACCTCTTGCAGCACAGCTGTGCCCAGCTGATCGAAAAGCCCTTCAAGTGCCCTGAGTGCGGGAAACGCTTTGCCCAGAGCTCGGCCCTGGAGAACCATCAGAAAGGCCATACGGCAGAGAAGCCCCATAAGTGCTTGGACTGTGGGAAATGCTTCATCTGGGCTTCCCACCTGGAGAGGCACCGGCGGGTCCATACCGGAGAGAGGCCTTTCAAGTGCCCTGAATGTGGAGAGTCCTACAGCCAGAGTGCCCATTTGGCCAAGCACCGGCGTAACCACATGGGCGAGCGCCCTTACAACTGCCCTGCCTGCTGGAGAAGCTTCGCTCAGATCGCTGAGCTGGAGGAACACAAGAAGACCCATCTGGGCTGCGAGGACTGTGGCAAGGTCTACCGGAGTCGGCAGACCCTGATGCGGCACCAGCGGGGACACCACCGCGAGCGCACCCATCTCTGTGAAGAGTGTGGGAAAGGCTTTGTGTGGGCCTCCCATCTAGAGCGCCACCGTCGGGTGCATACTGGGGAGCGCCCGTTCCCTTGCCCCATCTGCGGGGAGAAGTTTGCCCAGAAGGTCCACCTCCTTCACCACAACAAGACTCACTCTCACACCCGACCCTACAAATGTGGGGACTGCGACAAATGCTTCGGGGACAGCTCTGCTTTCCTAGCTCATCAGCGGGGTCACGCCATGGAGAAGAACCACAAGTGCCAGTATTGCTCCAAAAGCTTTGCCTGGAGCTCCCACTTGGAAAGGCATCAGCGCATCCACACGGGGGAGAAACCCTACAAGTGCCCCGATTGCCCCGAGCACTTTAGCCAGACTTCCCAGCTCTTCAAGCATCAGCGCTGTCACCTAGGCAAGAGGCCCTACAAGTGCAGTGAATGTGGGCGCAGCTTCAGCACCACCCTGGAAGTCCTCATCCACCAGCGGACCCACTTTGGGACCAAGCCCTTCCGTTGCTCCAGCTGTGGGAAGGGGTTCACCCGCCGAGCCAACCTGCTCAAGCATCAACGGTGCCATGCTAAGGAGTCCCCTAAGGAGCATTTAATTGAATTGAAATGTGAAGGCAACGGGTTCTCCGATATTTAACGGTTGAGAATCCCGGCAAGAGGAGGCCATTGCCGATGTTCTGGGGTTGTGGAGACTCCAGTCCTTGTTCAGCTCTTAACAACAGGACCCGATGCTATGGACGTGGTGGGAGAGAAGGACGCTTTAGGAAATGTCTAGGACAATGGGAAGGCCACAGAAAAGTCTTGGTGAAGAGGTATGGCTGTCACCAGCATACGAAAGAAGATCTGCCAAGAAGACCAATAATAGCCATGTCCATCGGTGATGAGGATCCTGATTTAGAGTCCACGCGGATGACTTTATTTCACATTTAGTCGATACTGTACATATCAATGTACCCCAAGAATGGGGGGGAAAAGCTTTATTTACTGTTCATCTTTACGTTCGGTAGCCTTTCCTCAGATAGACCAATTCTCCCCCCCCTCACAATCCTTTTTTTGGGGGGGGAAACTCTGGATAATGAAGCTTTAACAAATTCTGAGGGCTGACCTCCAGACCTTAATATGCCTGACTGAGACTTTACTAAATGGTGTGGAAATCTGCATGGGGGCCTGAAAACAAGCATTTTTAAGCCTCTTGAATGTGGAGGGGAAAAAAAAAGCTTTATTGACTAAAGAACCTAAACACCTGAGGCTTTGTGCTGGGCAATTGTATTTTAGTGACTACCATAATTAGATGGTACAGTAGAACCTGAATATCTAGAGACTATCTTAATATCAAACTATTCCATTCTTNTGCTTTCAAAGCGCTATTTAAAGCGCCCTTCTTTCTCCGCGCTCGCTGTTGTCGCCCTGTTGATGACGTCAGCGACGCGGTTTAATCGGGCGGGCGCGGTTTTGTCGTGCCACGGCCCCAGAGTGGGGTGGGAATGGGGAATTTGCAGTATCCTTCCCCTGCCATGCCCACCAAGCCACATTCACGCTCACCAAACCACGTCCACAGAACTGGGAGTAAAAAAAAATTGAATTTCACCACTGCTGCCTGGACTACATTTTCACTGGCAGAGGGCTGCAGGAGGCCATCGTGGCCAAAAACGGAGCCTCAATGAGTGACGTTGAGCTGGTGGGCACCCACCCTGGCCACGCCCAACCCCACCCCACCCCTGAGGTCAAACACAACCTTGATGCGGCCCTCAATGAAATCAAGTTTGACACTCCTGGTCTAGGCTGATTGCACCTGGATTTGTTTCAGAGGCAGAGGAGTGAAGAATGCAGATGTTAAAAACCTCTTCCAGAAGGAGCAAATGAGTAATTGGAGTTGAACACCTGAAGATTCAAAGATAATGAGGTGTAGAACCCACATTTGAAAGGTTTCCTTTTATTTATTTTATTTTATTTTTTAAAAATGTTGTTCAGCAATTTGGCAGATCCCAGCAGAGAACATGTTACCAAGCCACCTGTGAGTTGAATATGAATAATTGAATTTAGTTTTATTTGTCAGATGTTGGAAGTACATAATTAGTATTTATTCCTTGGCTCGACTCCTGGAACAGTTAACTGCCCTTTTGGTTTAGTTCCAAAACAAACGTAACCAAACTTTTGCTTAGAATTACAGAGCCATTAATATAGAAGGCCTCTCAGAGGTCATCTAGTCTAGCCCCCTCTCACTGTAGGTGCTGTGAAGTGCTATATTTCTCATATATGAACTTCCAGCCGTGGAGAACTCATGATTTCATGTGGCAATCTGTTCCGCTGGTTAACAGTTTGCACAGTTAGGACGCTCCTCCTGACATGAAGCCTTAACTCCTTTCTTTTTTTTTAATTAAAAAAGTTTTAATAAGTTTTTCAA